TAATTTTTTAAACGAATATCTGAAAAACACAAAAACGTATTATTTCTTCTTTTACTTTCCAAATGTAAGATTAGGAAGTATTGTACTAAAATCATTCTATGTTTTGCCAAAATTTCAAAAAACAGAACCATTAATAACTTTTAAGAGATTGACCGTTTCGTACTCGTATTCTACAAGCTGTAAAACGTCGAGAAAAGATAAAATCGCTAAGTGAAATAGTCAATGCCAGACTATCCTAGCTAACACTCAGGAAGTAAACATAACAATAATTTATTGAAGTAAAAATCCAACAAGGTTATTGGCAATAAGCAAGCGAACTACAACAGCCATTGTTTTCTAGTAAAATTCTGTTGTAAGTACGTCTCTTAAAATTAAACAGCAGACTGTGAGTGAAATTTATTCCGATTTTAGGTAAGTTTTAAAGCGAACTGTAGATAAAATCTGCGAAGTTTTTGCGTGACATGTCACACAATTTCTTACAAAATTTATGTAAAAAAAAAACCCTCGGTCATTATTAGGGTGTTAACATTTACTCGTTATTTATAAACTTCTAGCTCGGTATTCAATTATATTTCCTGTACAAACGTGTGAACTGTTCACACTTCACTGTTGCTTGCTTGATCAGTTTTAAAATTAACGTGTTGTTACTGGTAACCCATGCGAATTATCTGTGTAATATATGTATGTAGGTTGTTTCAGTTAACATTCTCCCTCCCCTTTTTTCATACATAAACTACTGAAATTCAAAACTGCTATATTTAGTACTTTATTACGTACTTTTTGTGCACCTGCATGTTAACAACGTGCGTAAAACGGTTAATATGATCTTCGTTATTGAAAAGTGATATTTTGAGATTTGGAAGGCAGATATCTATGACTAGAATGATTATAGTCTATGACTAGAATGATTATAGTTTCGGTTTAGGTGTAAATGTACTCAGGTTATTTTTTTTACGTGAATCATTTTGCATATTTTTTCATTTTTTGCACACAGAATAAAAACATTTCTCCAGAAACTATTAACTTTAAGAGTATTCACAGAAATTTTAAATAGTAATTCTGTTAACAGAAAATCAAGGTACGTTTGATTTTTGCTGTGGTTATCACGATACCACAATTTTATTTTATCTACTGATGTGAGTATGTAACAAATACGTTAGTAAAATAAATCACTCACTGTCTTTTTCATTCTAACACTTTTTTTCTTGACTCTTTGGACCCATACAACAAATGTCAAAAATTGTGTCTTCATCAAAATTTTCAAAGTGCAAAAAGTAATTGTTAAAGTAATGAGTAATTGTAATGAATTACTATTGTTACTGAATAATGAGTAATTGTAATGCATTACTTTTTAAAAGTAATTGTTCCAATCACTGATTAAAAGTGAATGTAAATAAATTAATTAAACTGACTGACTCCGAACGAATTGAGTTTCTGATAATGTGCGGGTATGTGACAGGCAACGATCATATTAAGAAGTCTATAGTTTGTTCAGTAATAGGCTAATACGTATTCAGCTCACGGCATTAGTATTTAAGTCTGCGATTGGTAGAACTAGTTGACCATATGACTGTCTATTAGGAAAAATCTTCAAAAGTTGAAACTTTATAAAATTTATGGCTAATTTTAACTTTTTAGATAGAAAAGTGACTACAATGGTGACAACTTGCATTGGATGCAACAAGTTTATATCCAGCACTTCGAAAAATTAATGGTTTTGTTGGTCATCAATAATAATCGGAGCATTTTTCGTAGATGTAAACTTAATTTATCAAGTTTACACGAATTTGTTAAAGAATAAAACCGTACAGACTATTACCCTATTTCAAACGCAATTGATCCCCCTCGTGCCAGCGAAAAATGTCATGAAATTGACATCCAACACGATGGTATTGTGTGTTAGCTGTCCGCAATTACTTGGATGAAGTATTTTCAGCAAGATAGATAGGCCGAAGGAGTATTATTGAACAGCCTGCTCGTTCCTCCAACTTATCAAAAAATACAAGTTAAAATACCCGAATATTATTTTGCACGTATAGTATATTTATTCAAAAGAGGTGTAAAACTAGCCATAAGTTTTTGATTTGTATGACCAGCAGGGTTTCATTTTATATTATCTAAATGAAAGTTCTCAGTAAAATGCCCACAACATAGCTGTTGTAAAAAAAAAAAAAACAGAAGTTGACCACACTCTTGTGTCAATGTTTTCTCTTCAATTTAGGATTTATAAATGTAAAAGTTGCACTCTTGTATTGACTCTTACTAAAACATACACGGTCATAAACTCGAAATTTTACATGATTTTTATGGACATAAATTGGTTGTAACAACACAATTATGTGAAAGTTCTGCGAAAACTAAACTGGGTCAGGGATGGAACCGAGGAATCTTTTGTATAAAACCGTAATCAAAAATTATTTAAACTGAGCTTCCTTGATAAGATAAAAGAACATGCTAAGCTGTATCATCTAAGTGAGGTTTTCTTCATAGCAAGAATGACATCATAATTTTTTTTCTGAAGACAAATACATATTATATCAATTTTGATAGGTACAGTGTATCACTAATACTATGCATCTCGAATTTCAGGAAAACTAGATAGGTAAACCGTTTTTGATTCAGATAAAAAAAAAACAAGTCTATTGATGATGTCATCAAATTTTTGAACGGAGAAAGAGATTCTTCTTTATCATTGTTGCGGTAATTTTAAACTGTGTTTATACCGTCTGAGTAAATTAAAGTCTTTGTTATGTGAACAGATACAGTTTTGTATGAATAGTTGATGTTTGATAAACTGTAAATTGTTTCAAGTGAATATAATTAAGAACGAAAGTTACAGTAGTGAACATGAATTTTTGATATACATCTTTGTGCGGGTATTTAAACAAATTTTAAATATATCATGTTTTAATATAACCAAAAATGAGTAGAAGAAATTGAAAAATGATTTTTAAATTATAAGACATGAGAGAATTCCGAGGAGAATTCTGATTTCACGGAACGATGAATACCGATGGAATTTTGCATTGCTTTCTAGAACATTAATTTTATGGAGGCTCAAACAACAATCGTGAAAGACTATTATGTTTATGGAAACGATAAAGCAAATATGGAAACAAGTAACGCACTTTATTGCAAACATAATGGTACCTATATGAAGAGTGACGAACTTTGACAATAAATGTTAACATAAATGGAAGTCTTCAGAATTGGAACTGTTGGGAGTTGAAGTCGTTTAAATATTAAAGATGTGTACAATTGTTCAGAAATTTCGAAGCAATGTTGCTTCTTTAAATAATATGTTCTTCTAACAGTTGAAGTGTAGGTAAGGACAATTTAGAAAAACTGGCTTTGGAAATAAGTCATCAAAAAAGCTGTAGTGATTATCGTTCTCCTTTTTACGTCATTGTTTTGAGTTCGTTTATACTGACTTTTTTAACCTGCAAATTTCAATCAGCTAATACAACAAAACAAAAAATGACAATAGCTTACAACAATTCAGTAGTGAAAAAGACTGTTATAACACAAAAAGGTGCTTGACTCGATCGAAAGAAACCACAAAAGTAACAAAACAACAATGCGAGTTAACGTGTAAACGATGTAAAGTGTGTCAAAATAGCATTATTAAGATTATGCCGTCTGTTATAAAAAAAACCGTCCCGGAGTTGTCTCATTTATTTTCCGAACCAACAGACTACAGATGACAGACGATAGACAGACGAAAACGGAAAAAAAATTGACACAAAAATTCGCAAAACTACCAAAAATTTAGAATAAGAACTTAAAATTGGATTAATGTGTCTGGTGTAAATGTACTTAATTGGGCTTTGATTTTTAATTTTTGTTTTATTTATAGGATACATATAAAAATAATTTGCAATCATGCATTAGGTATATCTCGTTTTAATAAAAGACGCAATATATTTATTGATAGAATCAACAAAGGTGCGTTGGGATAAAGTTTTAATAAGGTAAACGTTAACAAGGTTTGAGCGTGTTTTAATCTCAATAATGGACTAATTGCGACATAAATTTAATGAGTCCTATTTTAGTAAATCAAATAGTGCTGTTTTTATCTAATAGAACCTACATTTTTATTAAATGTGAGGTTTAACTAAAATCAATTATTAAATATATACATTCGTTTGAAAATTCCATAAAAATTTAATTTAAAAAAAAGAACTACCATTTGAATAATTTTTCACTTTGATTATTTCAAGACTATACTTACTCGTTTTTTTACTGATTTATAAAACATTTTGTCCTTAGTGGCTAAAAAACATTGTTTGTAAGATTGTATCGGTAACATCCTGTTGAGATATGCACTTGATGAACAGAAGTAAAACATTCTCAAAGTTGGGAAAACATGTATCCATTTACATATTCAAGATTGTTAAGTTGATGCAAACATATGAAGTTCAATAACTATCAGAAACTTGTTCTAACCACAGCTGCAGCTACATACAATATGTTTTTTATATGTGCCCCAAAACCTACGTTTAAAACTTTCTGACTATCAACAACTTATTAGTACGTGTGCTTGTTTAGTAAATCGTACCTACCTAATAAGTTCGTGCCCTAGATATCACCTCGGTACTTACATAAAATATGGTATTTCAGATTTTATTAAACAGATAATATGTAATAAATTATTTTGTATAAATGTATATTTTTGAATGATAGTTACGAGAAATGAAATACCTATTGTACTAGTGCCATAGCTCGTTTCCATGTATGTTGACTGTCCTCTGTTTCTTGTTGATGTTAGTTGGTGGAAAGATAATTACTTGTCAACGATTTCAAAATTTTAGGTGTACTTTTTGATTTTTGGAAATTTTATATTTATAGATAAGATTTACTTATTTAACTTTTGAAATGGCGCCATAAAATTTTTGAGGGGATACATTTTTGTTGCACAATTTTGATTTTTTCCCAAAAATCTAGATGTATGTATGTAAATTAAATCAACTCATAACAAGTGTAGTTATTTTTATGAAAGTATAGTCAATACCTGACCTCAAGGATTACTTGTTAAAATTTAACCAGATTATATAAACCCGCAGTAAACGCACATTGCACAAATGTTACTTACTCATGATCTGAAAAATTACTAAAAAGTACAGAACAACACAAATTAAAAACTATTGTGTCACTACTGCTTTCAAGATTACAAATACTTGTAACCCATCTGAAGAATCAGGTTTATTATAATTGTTACGAAACTAATTATTACAATGACATGTCGAGGATGGTTGTAATCATGAAAATATGGGGTATATTCAAGTTCGCAAGCAAAACTAGACAAAGTGCATGGTTCGTTGCCCGTGAAGTGGAAATGGTAATATCTCCTATCAAAGCCTTCTCTCACTGTATTTTGCAGACTAGTTCAGTGCTTGTGAACAGCTGATGTGGACCGCGCTGAAGAAGTTCTTCCAGATCGTACTTAATAAGTAGCGGGTAAATATAAAATTTATGAAAGTTTTATTTTTTGTATTCGAATTTTGAAATTCAGTTTCTTATATTTTTTCAAAATGTTCATAATAATAATAAAGACAATACGTATTCATCGTTTTTCTATATTATGTTACATGAAGTAATGAAAGAAAAACATCAGTTAGAAGCTTTGTTTTTTGTGTATAGTTAGTAATGTATTAAATATAAAATTCCAAATTTGTAATTGAGTTTTTGACTACTGATGAAGTTAAAATTTTTACATGTTTTATAACGTGTGTATTTTATTTTTTTCAGAAATCGGACTTATTGTGCAGAATGGGAAAAGAAATATGCAGTTTTTAAAATGAAGATCTGTAAATGTAAGACCGCGTATCACTACTGTGTTGGTGTATTTATGTCGCGTAATAAATAAATGGGTCTTAAACCATCGTATCTCGGTCATGCGGGGCATGTGCATAAGGTGTTTTTTAATCATATACATGTTGTTTGGACTGGCAGTAAATTTTCAGGTATGTATCTATATTTTAATATATTAATAATTAGAATATGCAAAAAGTAACAAAAAGAAAATTAATAAAACTGAAAGAAAAAAAAAATCTAGTGGCAGTCGTAATGAGGTCTATGGTATATTATTTAAAAACTGAAAAACTATCGAAATCATCCTCTACAATAATTTGATGACATCACCTCAAAATTTAAAAGTAAATCTTATCTAAATTGTATATCATAACATGATTTTGTGTTTGTAGTTTCTTAAATGGTCCTCGTTTTTCTTTAGCATCTAAATTTTTGGAAAAACAATTATTCAAACTTCTAAAACATCTAATGAAAATTGATGTAGTTTGTTTTTTCAAAAACTTGAGGACTTTATCTAAAAATTTTACTAGATAATAATAAATTAGTGTATTTAAAAAAAATTAAATGTAGTAACGCTGCGTATTTGCATGCGGTTACTGAATACCATTAGAATTCTCTTAATAGAAAAAAAAAAAAAACATAACCAACCATAACCATAACCAAAGGAATTCTCTTAACAGAAAAGAACCATTAGAAAAATGAGCTTAAACTCAAATCGATTTTAACGTGTTTAATTTTCCTAAAATACCACTCCTGTTTGTCATTTTTACATGTTCGTGTTTAGAGATGTGCTGAACCCACATACTGATTGATAAATGTGAGTCTACAGTAGAGTTTAACTATAGTTAATTAACATGAGACTTTTTTGTAATTATAAAGAGACAGAAAACATTGGAAGGATGTCTATCAACCGCATGATTAAAATAAATTATACTCCTAATTAATAAATAATTTTGTAAATCTTTTTTGTCTAGTTTTTTTTTTGTTTTGTTTATATTTGTTCACATATTTTAAAAGATTCCTTTGTGTTCCTCCAAACCACTCGATGTGTTAGTGCCTGTAAAATAACGACAAATTAATATCCATAATATTAGAACTAATTATACTGAAATTAAGTACATATTTTGATATTAGGCGGAAAGTTAGGAGGCGCACTAAAACCTGCGAATGTCATTCTTTTTATGACAATCCGTTTAACTTAAAAATGTTAATTCAATTAGAGGTAATTTTTTAATAAACTTTTATAAAGATTGAACAACGAAGTTTTTGTTAGTGTGGTACCACGATCATGATGACCTGCAAGCCTGTGCAAAATTTCAAACCAATTAGAATTTACATTGCAAAGTTTTGAGATGGCGTTATAAAATGTTTGTTTGGAATCATCAGACATGGTCATTGTTTTACCACCTACACAATATTTTTAAAATACCTACTTCTATAACAATCAGATCAATAATTTGAGAGATTATTATCTATCGAATAAAATTGCCCACAGACGAAACACGAACGGACACGGGACATTTACTTCTTCATATTTTTGAAGCCTAAATAAAATATAAAATTCATTCGTTAAATCGACCTCGTCACAATACTGCCCTAATACGTTTTGGAAATAAAGAGCTGCATATTTTAAGGGTTCATTTTATTATTTATTTCTTTTTGTGTATTATAGTTTTATCATACTACACAATGGTTTCTTACGTCTATCATTTTACGATGGCGATTTTTAAAAATACTTTACAGGACAATTTACTTACTACACGTATAATATTATGGTACAGAATAAATCGTAAAAAATATATTGCCCATAGTTTCCGTTAAATGTTTTAAAGAAAAAAAATTTAAAGCTTGTATAAGAAAGTATTAAAACATTTAAGTGTTTTGCAACTGAAATGTTTAGTTATAAATTGTCTAAATTCTAAAGATGTGTAGATATAAATTGTCAGCATTTACGCCACTTAAGAATAAATAAATGTGTTAAAATACTGATGACATCTTATTAAAATTTAAATACAAATATATGTAGAACTTTTATAAAAAATAAAAGATTTTTAGTGTGTTTTGCTTCTCGAGCGTAAGGTAGGAAAATATGTATTGCAATAAAACTCTGCGAAGGGTGTGTTAGCAATATCGTGTTGATGATAAAACACTAATCAAATAATCACCCCACTAACACTTCAAAATTATGAGTAGTCAATGTTATTTAAAGTTCATGAAACAACATACTCCTATACTTGTGGTTTATGAATCCCTATTTATTTTTTTACCTAGACATCAAGAGTTTTGGGAAAAAAATCAAAATGTTATAACAACATTTTACAAAATTAATGACCTCATTTCATAATTTTACCGAATAAATCCTATCTATAATATGCGTGGTTTATTAATGCATTCTTTTTTTGTAGAATTATTTACAAAGGATGACTCAAAAAAATTAATGAATGAATTTATGTGTTTATAACAATATGCAGTTGTTATAAATCAAACTGTGCGGCATTCTATTTTAAAGCTTTCAAAATTTACTATACATATCTTTTATTCGTCTCTGTAACCAAAATATGGGTTTATTTAATCATGAAAGAAGTAGATAGAGCGTGGAAAAAAGTGTCATAAAGTTTCACTATTCAACATTAATGTTTCCGTGTGTTATTGTTTGCGATTTAAAAAAAAATTGGTCTAAAGAGTTTAGACAGTACTTCCCTCGCTGTCGGAAACTTGACGACTGCATGCCTATTGTGTTTTTTTTCTCATTACATTTTTGTAGTGGGAATTTAAAAAAAAATTGCGATGACGTCATCAACATTTTTGCAAGGACACGTATATCAGTTGGGATAGATGTAGTGTAATACTAAGAATAAAATTATTATATTCTCAAATTTTCGGGAAAATGAATTGGGTCGTTTTGAATATTGATTTGTAATAATCAATAAAATAACGAAACAATTTACTCACGTATACGTATCAGAGGCAACTGAAAATCGTGTATGTATAAACATTCTTAATTTAAGATGACAGGCGTAACAGCATACGTGAGAGTCAAACAGAGAAACTGTAAACAAAACGACCATCGGTTTTATTGCTTCGACTTCCGCTTATTATATAAAACATTGGGTTTTATTTTAATTCTTGACGGTGAAATTCACAATTGGTTGATTATAAACATGTCTATTTCACATTCGCGGAACCAAGTGAGCGCATAAAACAAATGCAGGTCTGTAATGTTAAAGTCGATGTAAATAAGCGTGCTACCCTTATGTTTCAACCGAGTTTTTCCTTTAACAAATTTTGTGTCTACCAAATTGGGTTGGTTGGGGTGTAATACTAATAATAAGTGTTGCCTTTAATTTAATCAATAAAATAAATTGACTTCATTAATTTTTTTGAACCACCTCTTAAGAAAATCTAAAAAATATGGATGGAATGATAAATCACAAGTACAAACTCATCATATTTTTTGCATTTTAGATAGGATTTATTCAGCAAAATTTAAGGGTAACGTCATCAATTTTTTTAGGAGGGACGACCAAATACGTTTTGATCAAAAATTTACCATGCTTATGATAATTTTAAAATATCTTCAAGATTTCGAAGCATTCGGTTTTGTAGTTCCTGAGTAAATCAGTAAAATAAATTTACGCTTTCATTTATTTTCTTGAATCACCCTGTATATGCAAATCCAAAAAATATGAATGGAGTGATAAATGACAAGTACAGGCTCATCATATTTTGTACATTTTAGATATGATTTATTCGGCAAACTTTCGAGTTGACGTCATCAAGTTTTTGGAGGGGATAAGCAAATATATTTTGACTAAACATTTATTATGCTCTTTATGACCTTAAAACATCTGCAAGATTTCAGAGCATTCGGTTTTGTAGTTCCTGATTAAATCAATAAAATATATTTACGCATTCATTAATTTTTTTGAGTCACCCTGTATATGCAAATCCAAAAAATATGAATGAAGTGATAGATCACAAGTACAGACTCATCATATTTTGTACATTTTAGATATGATTTATTCCACAAACTTTTGAGCTGACGTCATCAAGTTTTTGGAGGGGATAAGCAAATATTTTTTGACTAAAGATTTATGATGCTCTTTATAGCCTTAAAACATCTGCAACATTTCAAAGCATTCTGGTTAGCAGATTAAAAATTAAATTTCAAAATGTTGTTTTATAATTTTGATTTTTTTTCCAAAAATCTGGACGTTTCGGGTGAAAAGTCGATTCAGAGTTGTAAACTACATGTGTAGGACTATGTTATTTTATACAATTGAAAACCCATTTACTATGTACAATTTTGAAGTGACGTCATCGCATTAGTGGTGGGGATGATTAGACAAATTTTGGTTAGCGTTTTACCATCTACATGATATTCTTAATATAAGTACAAAATTTCACAACAATCGGTCGAGTACTTTCGGAGATTATCTGTCTAATAAAAATCCGGGACAACAAACGGACAGACGGACGGACAGACGGACGGACAGACGGACAGACGGACAGACAGACGGAAATGGGAGACCTATTTCTTCGTCTTCTAGGGGTCATGAAAGATCGAGAAAACGTAAAAGTAGAGAGTCGGCCGACGGACTCGATTACAATACTTCCTTTGCTTACGCTCGGGAAGTAATAAATTTAAAAACCACCCCCTTCTGAAGTGTGCATGTTACGCTACTGACTGACATTCCGTTGTCACATTCTGATGACTCACCATGTTTAAGTTAAAATAATCCATCTCTAACAACCCTTGTCCACCACTAAGTAATAGCAGTCTAACGCTCAAGTGTTTATGTTTATACATCGAAAGAATGTCACGTAGAACTTAGTTTGATTTGAATGAGTTTGTCTTCTCAAAACACAGGACTAAAATTATTAATTAAACCACAATCGAACAAAACGTTCAGAATATTATAATTCTGATTTTATCATTATTATATAAAGACGTGCGTATTCTTCACATTTTCGAGAAAATGGGGTGACTGCCCAATAAAAAATTTGTTACGACGTCATCAATATGGATAATACTAGTCACAGCATAAAAGAAAAGTAATGACAGCGTATTACCAGTGCAAAAAACAACTTGGATTGGTGCAGTGTAATCCTAAAAATAATAGTATTGTTTTCCCAAATTTTTTTGAGAAAA